TCACTATACTTCTTGGGTTCCTACTATGTACATAATTATTAAGATTATTATTATTAAATGGCCTCTTACACTGTGTGTAAAAACATGCTTCCTCTTTATATTAGAGGAGTTGGGTACGGAACATCATTTTAGAGAAATGAGTCCCCTTGTGTGTAAACTCACTTGGTCTCAACAGTTACGCACGGACCCAGTTGTGAAAAGTCCAGTTAATGTAACAGAAAACCTGTGTGTTACACTTCCTGTGCTGATAATTTGTTTCTTACACAGTCATTGCTAAACCCAGGAAAATAGTTCACCTGAATGCATGGTATACTAAATATAATTGACTACTGTTCAGTAGATAATGCTTGCCAACTCTTAATATGCTTTAGTTCATCAAAGATACAAATGCATATTTAAATTTGTAGTACTGTGTATTCTAAAAATAGAGTTGACTCTCAATTGTTGTGGTTACGAGAGGGCGGGATAAGACAAAACCAAGCTACAAGAACATGTGCTGAGGTGGTAAGAAGAAAAGAGGTCAGAAAGCCCCTGGCCAGCATCCAGTAAGTGTAGCCATAGCAGTGTAAGCATGGCTGTCCTGCTGCTGGGTACAGGCTCGCTCATACAGAGCTACTCGAGTGCCTGTACGCACATCACAGTTAATCCACCCACCCACAAGCCAGAGTTGACAGTGTGGATTGCCTTTTGAGTACCAGGAGGGTGAGTTCTCTTGCCAGTGGCTTCATGAAAGTAACAAGGATTTGAATGCTACTTTTATCGTAAGTGATGCAATATTCTAAACCTCCCCTAATTCTTTTTGTATTTTAACCTACCTTAATTTTTATTACTGTGAAATTTTTCACTAGTGAAGATAGTTAAATCCCAATAATAAACTGTCTATAGTTAAAGAGCCTGCAGTTTTGATCTCTTGAAGATGGGTATAGAAATCCCTTCTTTTTACGCCATCAGGCCAAAATTACTGTTCTTCTAATTTTAAGATTCTGCCTTCAGATAATAACTAGCTACCACAGATTTTGTTGAAAACTTTATTAACATAAAAGAACTGATCCTTGCTATGTAGTTGATAACCTGTAAGAGTGAAGGCCTTTTGTGAGATATCTCCCAGTTATAGCGTAACTTGTGCAGAAAAAAGATATGAAGCTTAATGCTAAGTTAAATTTCTAATATGAGCGTCACTAATTTTTTTTCCTTGTACAGTAACAGTAGCTGACTATATATCGCGAGCTGAATCTCAAAGTAGACAGAGAAACCCCCCGAAGGAGACGCTAGCCAAAACCAAGAAAGAAGCGGTAAGAGGATTTTAAATGTACACTTCCTTTACTTCTTTTTTCTTTTTCCTTGCAGTGAAACAGTAAAGAATGCTCGATTTAGGTCATTTCCGTTAGAGTACTCTGAGTTCAAGAATACATCATGGAAAGGTTGAGAGTGAACAGAATCAAGCAGTAGCTCGCAGAATATAGTGTTAATTTGCAGAAAGCAGAGGAGACTTGAGTAACTGTTTTAGTGTTCAAATTAAAGGACTTAGGTATTCTAAAATACTATATTTACTAAAGTAGCATTGCATGATAAAATGCAAACATTCCTGTTGCAAGTTTGCTGTGAGTCAGAGGGAAATTAACACTTTATTTTGATGTTGTATTGTGTTTTTACTGATTTTTTAATATCCTGTTTTTATTCTTTAAGGCAAAAGACGCAATTGATGAAAACTGCCCTTCCGAAAAGGCAGTGAATGGTCCTGCTACAACTGCTGGGGATGAGCCTTCTAAATTACAGCACAGTCCTGATGAAAAGAAAGTTACTGTTCAAGAGGAGGGAAATAATCAGGAAGAAGCAGTGCTGAATGGTGTTTCATAAACTGAAGTTCCTAGTTTACAGTTCTTCTACATTACATTTAAAATAGTGCTTGTATAAGCTTGCCAAAGATAGAATATGGATCGCCAGTCTTGACACCGCACTTTCAGTTCCTCCATTTTGGAATACAGAAAGGGGAGGGATCCTGAAGAAATCATATGTTAAACATACTTTGACACCTACTGTGTTATAAATATATCATCAGATGTGCCTTGAGATAGTATATGTAACATTTAAATAAACAAAATTGCTGGCTATAGGAAATGTTATTTTGTTTTCAAAATACGGCAGAGATGTGAGGGGGATCCCTAACATAATACTCTTTATGAAAGCATTAGCTGCTTTTGTTACATTTTTAATAATATGCAACCACTTCTTCACCTGAGGAATACTAGAAAGAAATGCAGTCTAAAATATTTTGCACTGAAATGTAATTTCTCCATTAGTTTAGTCTGGAAACTGGTCTGTTTTAATACATGTTTTTTAAATGCTGTATGTAGAGGAAAAATCTGCAGACCACTGGAATACATTTGTTAAATTCTCATACTCTGCAGGGATACTGGGTGACATTGGCAGTGACTGTTCTACATTGAGGCTTTGTTTGGTTTATTTATTAAACTGTACAGTATTTAAAAATCAAACATAGCTTTAGTTAACACTAAGCTGAATTAGTCATGTCCATTAAGACATAACCTGAACTACTGAAAAGATCAATTTCCAGAAAGTTTATTCTGTATAAACTACATATGTTAGTCCTTAGTAGAGTATTTTTATTTTTGTTTTGGTTGTTTGATGTGCAATATGTTTTTTTTGTATGCTGGTAGTAAAAGAAAATAAACTTTGATCTTCCATCTGTGGACTGTTTCTATCAGAAATTTAAATTGCTATTGACTTAAGGTTTTCAAGCTGTTAACACTAACTGTTGAAACTTACCTGTCAGGCAGCTTGAACCTTTAATTCTTACCAAAAAAAAAAAAAAGCTTTCTAACATGCTAACCTTGCATTAAGATGATGTAAAACATCAGTTAATGTATCTAAAATAACTTACCTTAAGAATTGCTTAGCATGACTAACATAGGAGCTAACATAGGTGTAGTTTTTGAGAAGCTAGAAGCATGATATGCTAACAAATCTTTTCAGGTGCAAGAGCAATAATGTAGAAACCAGAAGCAGAAAAAAATCTGGGAAGCAATGGAGTTGTAAGAAGCCAGAGAGAGCACTGCTGAAGCTATACTTATTTGAAAGGAAAATTCTTTTACCTGATTTGGCTAAAAGTGAGAAAGGAAAAAAAACAAACACTCTGCACAGTACATGCTTCCAGCTGCTGTACTTCGTACAGCTAGAGCAGAGTTGTACTAACTAGGCTTAGGTATTTACTTCATTTAAGGATATATAGTTTTAGTATGACTTAGTGTTGACTTGTCAAGAGTGTTCCCTCCTGGAGAACAAAGTGTTAGAACTCTAAAGTAAACAGAAGAGTCCTCAATGATAGCAGCCACAAGAGTGGAAAACAAATGAGAGGGGAAAAAAAAGCTGTTTAAAAACAGTCAATGTTACTTGGCAGGAGAGAACTGAAGTAGCTTTCATTCTTTGTAGGCCTTGACAGATGCAAATTGTGAAGCTGCTGCATGGCAATGTTCCAGCTGTGTGTGTGTGGTGGTTTCCTTTTTTTTTTTTAACCCTGCTTTAAGTTCTATAGTAAAGCAAAATATCCTTTTCTGTTACTTTAAGTTCTAAACATTTTCTTTTTCATACTCTTCCCTTACTGATCTTGAGCCTCTGTTTTAAAAATGTACAATCTTTCTGTAGTGGTGTTCTGGTATTACAAAGTGGCCTAGAAGTACTGTAGAGCAATACAGCTACAGAATAGCCAAAGTTCAGGCAGAGGATGTGAGACTACTTAACACCCCTCATTGAAATAGGGGCATGGTTCTGGAAAAAATGAAAGCTCCACATTCCACTGTATATTTATGAGCAGATGGTGTTAATGATTACATATGTTGTACAGCAGTTTTACCATAGTTGCAGAAAGGCTGGAAAGATTCCTGGAGCGTGACAGGACTCTTTGGCCCCAATTCAGGTACATAAGACAGCTGCTAGTACGTTTGGCTTCATGTAGCCTGGTAAATCCAGCTCAGGTATCCTGGTTTTATGTAATTGGACTAGAATAGTTCTGTGAGACAGGACCTACAGCAATCTAGTCCAACTGCCTGACCACATCAGAGTTGGAGCATGGGCTCTTTTTAAGAGCCCAATCCAAATGCTTCTTGCATGCTGACAGGCCTGGGGCATCGACCACCTCTCTAGGAAGCCTGTTCCAGTGTTTGACCACCCTCTTGGTAAGGATGTTTTCTCTAAGGTCCTGTCTGACCCCCCTGGTGCAGATTCGTACCATTCCCATGCACCCTTGTCCTCAGTGACCAGGGAGCAGAGACCGGTGCCTGCCTCTGCACTTCCCCTCCTCGGGACGTGGCAGAGAGCAGTGAGGTCGCCTCCCAGCCTCTTCTCCAGAGAAGAGGACCTGAGTGTCCTCAGCCTCCCCTCACAGACCTGCCCTGCAGCCCTTCTACCAGCTTTGCTGCCCTCCTCTGGATGCTCTCAAGAACAATATTTGGGGTGAGGCTGCATCAACACTAAACACAGTCGGAGAGTCGCCTCTTTAGGCCAGCTGTGGTGTGCTTAATGCACCCCAAGTGTGACTTGCCCTCCTGGCTGCCAGGACAGCTGCTGGCTCTCACTGAGCCTGCTGCCACCAGCACCCCCAGGTCCCTTCCTGCTGAGCTGTTCTCCAGCCACTTGTCTCCCAGCCTGTGCCTGGCGTTGCTCTGCCCTGTGCAGCACCTGGCTTTCGTCTTCCATGAACGTCAAGGTGTTGATGGCAGTCCAATGTGCAGACATACCGAGATCCACTGCAAGGCCTCTCCTCCCTCCAGCCACCTCCCAGATGAGTATCACCAGCAAAATTGCCAAGGGGGGAATTAAATTTCTGTATCCAGATCACTGATAAAAACATCAAACAGAACCAGCCCTAGTGGTCATTAGCAGGGTCAATACCAGTGATGTAAACATCCTTTTTCCTTACGTGACAAATGCAAACTTTATGACATGAACCATAACTTTGTAGTTAATAATGTGTAAAACTATAGTACTTGTTACAGATTTGTAATTTATTGCCATAAAATCCATTAAAAATTGGAAACTAACAAAAAATCTGGGATCTTCCAGATCCATCAGTAACACTTAAGAGCTGAACCAACCTTGTTTTTCACAAGGCAAAACAACTGAGTACATTCAGTTTCTTCAACTTTATTTCTTCAATTAGAAACAACCACGTATCTGTCCTGTATCTTCCTGTCAAATAATTCCTCCTGTTTTTTTCCACCCTCTCCCTAGACTGTTTTCATCATGCTAACTTTGGCATATGAAAGAACAGCAGCATGAATTTTAAACATAACTAGATTAACAAAAATTAGGTAATGGCATGTCAGCATCCAGTAACATGCAAGAAATTTTGGCCAAACCACATCAGTGGCAGCTTCTACCACATACTAATGAACAGCTTTGGAAAACCTTTAAGCCTCACTCCCTCAGACGTTTCCCAAAAAGCAACTAAGAATTGATCAGGGAGGGAAATACCTCCCCACATTCATTTTTCAAGCCTCATTTGTGTCAAGTCAAAGACTGACATCAGAACTTGCCTTAAGCTGTTTATAAAAGAAAAAAAAAATCACTTGAACAAACAAACCCTATGACTTTAATCTCCAATTCATTTTTTAGCTTGGTCTTCCAGTAAATCTTTAGCTTCATTGATTTTGGCTGCTACATATGGTGAACCACCTAGAAGAAAGATAACCTCATGTCACACTAGATGAAACAAGTATTTTGGGTTTTGGTGCATACAACAAGTAATGAAGTCACTTTCAAGGAGGCCATTTCACCTTTTAAGTGAGGATTAAAAAGTTAAATGCCAAGCAGTAACAAACAATTCTGACTCAATGAAGAACACAGAATTCAGAATAGGCAGAGGTGCCTACTTTAAGCATAACTAGATTCTGAGCCTTCAGAATGCCACAGGCAGCAGTGTTTTGTAGTTTAGTCTTCGACAGAAGCAGAAGGCTCAGTTCTTGCTATATAGGACCAATTTCCAATGAATCAACTCAAACTCACATGCTAAATATAAAGTATACAAAATACTCTGGTCTTTCACCTAAAATTAAGGTGATTTTAAGTCTCAGTTTAACAAGTCTTATTTTAATCAGATACACACAGGAAAGTGCAAGCATCAGTTGACTTGCTGAATCTGTCTGCTTGCTTTAAACCATTCAAACACAAGAATATGTTCCAAAACTGCATGAATTTGGGCACTCTTAAAATCTGTTTTCACTTTTTTTTTTTCCTTTTAGTAGCCAGCGTATTGAAATGTCACTTCCCACACAGTTCAGTTCATGGGTAAAAATATGTGTTAGTTGATCAACGTGAATTATTTTTACTTACCTTTATCTGGATGATTTAGAAGCATGATGCGTCTATGAGCTTCTCTAATTTTACTTCTGTTTGCTGTAGGGCTAGTTTAAAAGACAAAGAAAAACTAACTTGAGGTAACCTCACAAAATCCCCCAGATTAAAAAGGTATCTCAGAACAATAAGCACTCTGCCTTGCCCAAAGAAATCTTTGATTTACATGTACACTTTTTCTTTTCCTATTATTACGTATAACATTTAAGTTCTGGGCAGGGTTTTTTTTTTTTTTTTTCCAATATATTGCATGCCCAAGAAGACATGCTATAAAGACAACCACACACATCTGGAGATGAAAAAAATAAAAATAGGGGCAAATTTTCAACAATATTTTGGTAACAACCAAGTTACCAGCATTTATACTGACACAGCAGTACTTAAAAGTGTATTTTGCTATTTAGCTCCCACTGAAATCTAGTAGAATTACACTATCTTGTAGAAGTAGCTAGCCACCTCAAAATCTTACAGTGTATGTCCCAGACATGGCTCTCTCAAATGCCTGTGTGAATTTGAACTCAATATTCAATCAGAAAGGAGCAAAACTACATTGTAACATTTTTATAGGGTCAAATTTCATAGAGGGCTCTTGAACAAAGGAAAAACTTAATTGATTGTTTTTAACTATTTGTGTATAAACCTCCCAGCTGAAAGTTGCCTTCAAAGAGAAATGATTCTTACTTGCTCTCTTACTAGATAAACTTGTGTATTTGGTCTTAGACTCTAAGTTTTGGCAGGGAAAGCTACTCCTCTCTCAGAAATTCTAGAATAAGTGATGAATTTACACGCAGGAAGTAGGTGTGCAGCACTTTCACACAGGATCTGAAATTTAACGGAAGTGACAGCAACCACAAGTGAGCAGCACAACCCTGTTCCCCACACAGAATCAGCCCCAGGTCTTCATGAAAACAGCTTCGAAGTGGAAATTGAATGTTCTGCTTGGGATTTACAGATGTATGGAAGTCTAATTAGAGTTAGCTTGAAGCACACTACCATGCAGCAGAGAATCGCAAATAAGTACAGGAAGTCCTGAGAAGACACTCCGTATTTCCTGGCTTGACAGTGACATTTCTAGGGGAAATGGCATAGGACAGTCTTGAGCACTGAGCATCCTCCTTTTTACCTTTCATTTATAACAAATTTCCTTTTACCTCACTCCTAGTATTAAAGCTGCTTCTCGTTTAGTCATTTTGGGTTCAAATCCACCTCTGTAATAACCACGGAAGTCCTGGAAGGGAAAGTGTGTTAGTTTAGAATACAATGATTATGTAAGCTTAACTACATCAGCTAAAACAACTCATGATTGCCTTAGCAGCTGCTGAGCTTTTTGTGAAGCTTCCTTTGCATTTGCAATAAGAAATTTAGGTGAAGCAGAGTACTGTAACTTAAATTAATACTTAAACTTGCCAGAATAACCTCTATTAGTCAACTACCATCAGAATCACAGATTGTTATTAGCGACAAAATTATGTTTAATTTTAGAAGATGCAATACTATACAGAGACAACAGTGCAGCTACTTCATTGAGTACACTTTCAAATAAAAAGATGCCATTGATAAAAACTTACAGGTTTTGGTAGATTCTGAAGTGCTTGTTTTACTTGGGGCTCCATTTGCTTCATAGCTTTTAGTGCATAACGACCTGAAAGAAATTAGCGTTGAACAAGACTAAGTATGGTGTTTCATAAAGGCCTGGCAATTCAGTTTGACTAGTAACTTATGGATTAAAATATGGAATAAGGATTTTTTTGGACATAAAAAATTGAAGAAATTTTATTTTTTGTTTAACTACTGCCATATTTTTCATTATAGGCTCTCGGCAGTGTCCAGTACCAGGTGTTGCAGTGCACTGGCGCTGAAGCAGGCGTTGAACACATCCACAAACCTGCAAATCCAGCTGCTGCGATGGTCAGGCCAACCGCCACCATGGTACCGGCCTACACAGGAAACAAAAGTCTTTGTTTACCAAAGAAAGCGAAACAAGACAACACAAAAACACAAAAACAGGCTGTCTCTGGAAGCGGGCACCATCAGCCCACAGCCGCCGGGCAGGGCTGCGGCGGGGCTCCGCGGGGAGCCGGGACGGGGGCAGCGGGGCCGGGAGGGATCCAGGGGGTGATCCCCAGCGCCGCAGTCCCTCGTACCCGTCCTCCAGGGCCGTGCCGAGGGCAGCGGGCTCCCTGCAGGCCGGGCCGCCCTCCCGGGGCTCGGGAAGGGCCGGAGCCCCCGCGGCTCCCGCAGCGCGGCCGGGCCCGGCCCCCGCCGCACTCACCATGGCCGCCGCCCGGCCCTAGGCCCCTCGGCGCTTCCAACGGCCGGGCCGAGCTGGCGGAGGGCCGAGGCTGGTTGCTCGGCCGCGGGCCCCGCCGCACAGCCGCCACCGGCTGTCGTAAAGCGGGGCGGAGCGGCAGCAGTGACCGCCCCGCCGGGGCCGGGCCGGGCGCTGAGGTGGCCGCGGGGCAAGGGCGGCCCGAGAATGGCGGCTCTGAGGCAGGGCCTGGTGCAGGGGCTGTCCCTGCAGGGTGACAGGCGGCTCTTGTATAAACGAGCGGTGATGTGCTCGAGATAACGTGTGCCAGACTCGTTTTTTACAAAAACCCATGGTTTATCGCCCGTCCCTGTGAGGAGCGTGTGCCCCGTCCCATTTTCCTTGTCTTCTGTCCGTCCCGCTGAGCTCCGGCCTGCTCCTTCTCGGTCCCCGAGCATTGCCGCCAAATTCGTGGCAATTCCACTCAAATGGCGCTCGCCCTGCTGGGCTGGCACGGGAAGGACTGGCCACGGGGACAGCCGGGGAAATTAATGCAGGCCCTGGCTCCAGACAATCTCACTAGGCTGATTGTTGAAGATTACCACACAGTGAGGGTGAACTGCACATCTGGTTCTTGTATTTGAATAATACTGATACTATAATGGTGACACTATATTAACAGCATAGCGCTGCACGTAGCAGAGTGTCTGTCAGGAGTTCCAGTCAGAAGCCATGGTTTTGGAAATGGAATAACTTGGCCTGCAGGAACATGCCAGCCTTCAGCACTGAGCTGCTTTTTCAAATGGGTCACAGCTCTAAGTACAGCTGTTTCGTGTTTAATTTGCAGGAATTAGAAGCTTTCGTGTTACCTCAGTTCCTGTGTTGGTGTTCTCAGAGGCACCTGGGAAATGAATTTGCAGTGTCGTCTAAGAGCTGGTCACTGGTTAAGACACTTGTAATCTTGCTGGTTCTTGCAGTGGAAAATATTTTTTCTTCTCCTATTTTAGCTCTTATGAGCGCTGAGTGCACTTTGAATACGTTGTAAGTTCAGTTTGAGTGTGAATTGTTTTTTCACTTAAATTTCAAGTGCCTGACACAATGTCTTCTGAGATGTTTGGGGGTGGTCTATTTCCTCCCTTCCCTGTTATTCAGGCAACAATACATTAAAATAATCTGCTTGCTTTTAAAGATGATAGAAAAAAGGTTTTGGATGCATAAGGTGCTTCCACAAAGCATCTCTGAGACTCTCATGAGATGGAAATAAAAGGAAACTTCGATAAAGTGATGGAGTCCTCTTGTTGCAGAGCACAAGGCCCCTGCCAGGCTGTGAAAACTTTTCAAATATGGGACAGGGACCTAGCAACTGAAAAACATCTCGATGTTTGCTTTATATATATTTATATATTTAAAAAACAAACAAACAAACAAACAACAAAAACAGAAAAAGATAAAAGATGTAGGCAACTACAGGCTTGGTAGCCAACTAGAGTTTCTTCATAAAGGGAAAAAAATTAGGTTTTAAAATCCTCTTTTTGTCCATTCTCTATCCAAAAAGGGTGTAGAGCAGTGCAAGCTAGTGGCTTTCTTGAGGCATTACCAGTGATTTCATTTTTCCTATCATCTAAAACAAGTAAGAGAGTGGGAATCCTTTCCTGTAATATATTACATGAGGTTTGGTTTCCATGTTGTGACAGAACCTTTCGTGGGGTGCAGATCCTTGTGGCTTTTGAGAGAAAGCTGTCCCAAATGGGACTGCTGTTGTCTTTCTTCCCTCGCTTTGCCCAGCTCATGTTGGGAAGGACTGGAAACTGGTCACAGATGGGGTGTTGCAGGTTTATACCTACTGGGTCTTTCTATTCTGTTTTTACTTCCTGAGAGGATCCAAACTTCATCTCTTCCCACTGTTCTGAGTTCCCTATCAGAGCCAAAGAGAGTGCTAGAGGTGTTCCAGCTGGTGGCACATGGGCACGTTTTATGGGACGAAGACTTAGAGCCAGCGATACAAAATGCCACATTTGCTATGGAAGACGATATCTGGGGGGCGCCTCCCGCCACCTTCTGAATGTGGTCTCTTCTCTGGACATTTGTAGCAGCCACGTGCCTCTAGGTGGTACGGGATACTCCTCTCCATCTGAGAAGCCAAAGGAAGAACCACTGCTTGCCCTTCCTTGGACTGCCTGTCTCCAGACTGCTTTGGCACGGGTGGCAGCTGTTGTAACCCTGTCCTGGCCAAAGTACCGAACTGCTGCCACTAAGCTTTCCCAATGTGCATCAGAGTTAAGAAGTCTTCTGTGCAGAAGTCTGCAAATAGCTGCTCTGAGGCTAGTCCAGATCTGTTTCATTTTCCTCCTTGGCTGCTCAGGAAACCTGAGTGAAGTACAGTAAGGGACTGGATGTTTAAATGCTGTCAGTTCAGATTTAAACACAAAATCAGTAAGTGCTTGTGTGTATGAATATTGTTGATAACAAGTGCTTGAAGGATCAGACCTGTTTCTGAAACTGGAAGATTTATGAATTTTTATTTAAATATAGGTTGTACTCTCCAGAAACTACTTGTCTAGATGCCCCCGTTGGCAAATGGTGTCTTAAGTCTTGCCAAATGCTGAAACTTGATTTTGTGCAGGCTCTGTACATAAATATTAAGGTGATTTGTTACACAACAGGTAGCTTGGTGTATTTTAAACCTTGGTCCTTCAAACTACTACAGCTATATAGCATACAGCTAGAGCTTTATGGACATGCTGGTGGCCATATAGACACTGCGGCATGCTGCTGAAATCATAGCTATTACTGCTGATTTCTAGGAATTAGGAAGCAGGCATCATAAGGAGTATCACAATCAAACAAAAGCAGAGAATGCAGAAAACCTCATAGAACCTTGTTTTCCACAAACAGAGCTGGAAATGCTCTCTTTTGCCATTGGAGTTTCCATTTATTTAGAAATAGGAATTCCGCTCTGTTTGCTTTATGGGTTCATTTTATAGCACCTTATTCCTCTAGGTCTTCTCTCTGTCAACCTTGTGCTGTTGTGCAGAGGATCATTCACAGGGAAAAAGGAATAAGTTCTAATGGGCACAAATTAAATAAGTACACTGCAGTTTTTATCCCTTTTGAAGAATGTCTGTTGTTTGTTTATTTGTTTGTTTTTTTGAAATCAGAAGGAAGGAAAAACTAATGAGTTTTTTAAAAATATCCTCCCAGCTGGAGTATACAACCTTTTATTTCACTTACTGTGTTTCTAAACTGCTTCCTTTATATTTTTCAGAGAAACCCTGAAGCTTTTGTGGTTTCTTCTGTCCAGAGTTTCATCCTAGTGCTGTCTTAAGGTTTTCCACTCAGCTAAGATACCTTCTGATAGAAGATGATTTTCCTTTTATAATCTTTATCTTATTGGACCATCCAATGCAGACACATATAGAACATAAGCAAACTTCTCAATTAAAATAGACCATTTCTGCAGAAACCTGGTAATAAATACTTAACCATGCCTTCTACAAACTGGACAGCAGGTCAAATAGCAGTGCATTAAGAAGGTTTGTGATGTACCTGTTCAACATCTATATAAGGCTGCTAAACATTTTTGTAAGTGAAAAACAAGGTTATGTGCTGCAGCTGTTGTCCTGTGCACAGCTGATCCTTGTACTTTGCTGCTGCTTGAGGCTGTAGCCATTCCGTGCTCCTTGCTGTGGCTGCACCAAGCTGTTCAGAGGCTCACCCTGGGGCGCCGAGGTGAAGAATTTCTTAGGTGCTTTTAAATGTTTTATCCTCTTTGGTTTTAGAATGCAATTTTTTTTTATATATTTTAATATATACTTATAATAAAAATAGGTAGAAATTCTTGTTTCTTTTCTTTTCTCTGAGCTTTTTTTTTCTATTTTTTTCCCATTCTCTACTTTCTTTGGCTATACTAGTCTGCCAGTTAGGTTTCACATCTCCTTTCTTTTTCTCGTTTATCCTTTTTGAGATTGCATTATTTCTTGTGTCCTAAACATCTGTACCAGAATACAATGCTGTGCTGTCTCACCTGTGGCTAAATTACCTTGATGTTTTTAGCATCACTTTGTCTTTAAATTGATAATCATAATTATTAGAGCATAGTGTGGATGACACTAATTGCAAACTGAGATTCACTCACTTGATAAGGATTGTTATGGGCTTCTTAAAATCAAACAAAGCAGGATTGCACTGTAATTCGACACCAGCTATGAAGTGTGTATGTGTGGCTGGTAGCACATCTGTGTTCACAACAATCATAAGAGAATCTGTCTTGCAGTGGCATTATTTGGCTTCCCAGCTTAATTAAAAATCAGACAAGGTTGTAGGAAAGCAACGGAGAGGCAAGGTCTGTAATTGTTAGTAAATTAGTCACAAAATTCCCTGAAGATTAACTAAGGAATGCAGCATCTACATGTGCACTTTCTCTCTCAAAAGTTTCTAAAGTCAAGTTTGATACTTACCATCTTTTACGCATGGTATCCTGCTATATGCTTCTCCATAGGGGAAAAAGCAATGAGATAATACTGAAGTGTTTACCAGGGACATTATATTATTTTTGGTTTTGTGTTGATTATTACTGTCAAGCATTCCTTTTGAAATACGTATTCTGCCAGTATTGGTGCTGAAACGTGTGTGTCTGTGCTGTGAAGCTCTATTAAGTACTACAAAAACAAGCTCGTGCCATTTTTGGCAAATAAATTGAGTAAAGCCTTTATTTGCACTGTCTTAATGAATTGTAGTGATCAGTATCTCCTCACAATGAAGGTCTTGATCTTTGGTTTCCCCCACTTGGAGATTATCACAGGATCAAGGCCTAAACCATCTGCCTGTCAGATAGGCCTTGGTCCCTTTATACACTGTGGGTTCAGTTGTGCATCCTAACTCCTACCTAAAGATGACAACTGAAGTGTCAGTGTTATCAGCCAGGAAGGAAAACTTGAGCAGTGCAGAGCACGGAAGGCAGCAGAGGAGGAAGGAGACAGCTATGGGCGCTGGAGGAGGCTGTAACAGCACTCCTCACCCATGGCTTATAAGAAGCTTTCTCTAGGCATTAAGTGTTCTTCTGAGGAGATTATGGAGGGTTTTGCAGCTTTGGTGGTGGTGATGAGGTTGAAATTTGA